GGACAGTGGACAAGTATATTGGGGAAACCAATGCTCCTTACAGTACTGCGAACAACAAGTACTTTCAGATCATGCTTCAGTCATTTCAGCTAAGGTATGTACTATGTAATGCAAATATTAAATTTTTAATGTATATCTTATACTTCATTTTACAATGGTGTTGATCAATACGACAATAAAAGTCTCTTGTATGGGTTGTGCTGTGGTGTGGACTGTTGCTAATTTTTGAAACTATTTCATAGTCTTAGCCTATACTCCTATTACCAAATCAGTGCTGTATTAGTCACAAAATAGCATTTATGGCATATTGCATCTTTTGTGTTGGTAATTGAATTTGAAATTAATCATGAAATGTTGCTAGTCATTACTCCTTTAACAATTACATGAACATATTGTTTGTTGATTGAGATTTGTACGTAATTATTACTGCATATTTGTTGGAAAATATTGGGACATTGTTCACACTATTTTACTTGTCTTTGCATAGGTATCTTATTCCAAGCCGTTCTCGCCTCATTTGTGAAATTTCTGATATTCCACGGGCCATGAAGGGCTAGATACAGATAAGCATGAGTAGTGCATGGAAGATAAATTTTTGTGCTGACATCTGGAGTAAAAAGGGACTGACCTCCTCCTATCTTGGGATAACTGCACATTATTATTCTACTGTTAACCAGTGTATTGAACATCCAGCTCTTGCTGTTCAAGAAATTCCTCATCCCCACACAGGTTTGTGATGCATATACTGTTACTGTACAGCCCTGTACAGTATATACTGTCCACTGGTTAATTTTAAACTATGTTTGATTTTAGGACAGTCTATATGTGACCTGACCTACCAAAAAATAAATGACTGGGGCATACCACTGAACAAAGTCTAATTTGTGATAACAGGTAACGGGAGTAATATGGTAAAGGCCTTTAAGTCTGATCTAGCCCTTAGCGAGATAGAAGTGGATAAAGGTGCAGACATAGATGACAATGAATCTGATCACAAACCTGATCACGAACCTAGGAAGGACGATGGCGATTACAACGACAATGACAACGACGATGTCCAATTGCATGACGAGTTAGAGCCTGAGGGAGAGGCAGTACTAGAATTTGAAACAGAGGAACATACTCACAACACCATCTAAAGGATTGAAGAGATTGAGCTACTTTAGCCACACACTGCAGCTAGTTGTTGCTGCTTTTAATAAAGATAAAGCATGTCGTAACCTACTGTCAAAAGCTTATAAGATAGTAAAGCAGGTGTCTATGTCGGGAAAAGCCACTGCGGCACTTATAGCGAAAGCTGGAAAAAAGCTTGTTTCTAACAGTGTTACAAGATGGTCAAGAGCCTATCTCGTTGTCTCCCGCCTTCTCGAAGTTAAGGATGACCTTATGATAATACTAGTGCCGCACGGCTTGACTCTACTGCAGCCAACTGAATGGACAAAGTTAGAACATATCAAAGCCCTTCCTTCAAAATTTGCAGAGCACACAAATGTGGCAGGTGGTGAACAGTACCCGACACTGCCATTAGTAATACCAGCCTATAGAGACTTGCTATTACATCTGCAATCAATGGAAAAAGTCCCTTACCTTAAGAATGTGGCCAAAATATTGTTGAGTGAGCTGAATAGACGCCTCAGCAAATTAACTAATCCTGACCACCCAGATCATGATCCAGTATACATGGTTGCAACCTTATTTGATTTAAGATTTAAATTGTCCTTTACTGAAAGTCCAACAGCACATGCGAAAAAGGAGTGTCTCAAGTTATTAGGTGAATACAAATCAGGAGATGATACTGAAAGTGAAGTAACCCAGCCTATTCCTCCTGATGATGATAAAGCACCAGCGAAACAGTATGCTTATGATCATGTTTATAACGAAATGAAGAGAAAGGTTACAAATATGAAGAACTTAAAACGTAAGAATCAAAAGCTACCTGAGTTACAATTGGATGGATATCTGCAGAGCACGTCTGATCTTCTACCACCACAAGACAGTGATCCTCTTGCATACTGGATTAATTCTTCTCACACAATTTTGGAACTATTCGCAATAGATATGCTGTCTGCACCATCACCATCTGCTCCAGTAGAACGCACAGTTTCAGCTGCCAGAATAGCAACATCGGGATGCAGAAATAGGTTGGCCAAGGATAAATTAGAGAATGAAGTTTTGCTCAAAAAAAATGAATAGTATTTTGCTTACAATTACTAGAGTAGTGTCAGTGTGTGAATGAATCATAACTAACAGGACATCATTGCAAAATAGTTCATTCAAATTGTAACATAATTCACTTAAAATGAATTGTGAAATATTAAATTGAAAAGAATTTTCCAACAATTAATTTTAAAAAATTAAACATAGATTGAGGGAGAAGGGAGGAATGAAGCATTTAAGGAGAATTTCAATTGACTGTGAGGACTCGGCTGAGTTTTGCTACAAGGTTCCATACCTTCTAAGTTGAGCATGACCATGAAGTAAATCTGTAGTGTAGCTGTGTAGGCCTAATATAATATTATATAATCAGTCTTACTGAAAAGTTTTCAAATGGGATGGAATGACAGTGGTTTGGTTGTCTTCAGTTATGACTGGTACCAACTAAACTTAAGTAAGCAGTAAATTTCTTTGGCTTCAACAATTTGTCAAAGTTTCTTTAAAAAACCAGACTTCCTGTGACTTTACGTTATGTGCCTAATCAGTACTGACAAGTCTAATTAGTAGACAGGAAGAGATTTTTCTCGCAAATAATTATTGTAGTAAGTTGAAAGGAGTTATAGACATTTGAACTGAATCAAGTCCGGTGTAGAAGGATGTCTTCCTATCATTGTTAGTAATGAAACTAGCTCCGAAGATGCCTTTCTCAAGTTTAGACTGCATTAGTGGCACTTATTAAACTCCATGAGCCAACTCTAGACACTGGATGATGGTCAGTAAGCAGTAGCAATATTGCTGTAATCAATAAATACAGCAGTTTTTGGAGAATAAGCTCTTTTCACGATCGCTCCATAGACAACCATTAGAAGTAGGACTCCAAAATGGCGGTAGCAAAATTTTACTTTATTTATGGCATCACAATGAATATACTTAAAATTCTATGAATCTACTTAGCACCAACTGGTCAATAGGAACATTTAAATACCAGGGCTTACCCCATTCAAGTGACAAATTAACCAGTGGGCATAAATAAAAAGCTATCAAATCTGGAGGTAACTTGCTGAAGTAGAGCCCAGCAAATGAACCAAGCATTTACCAGAATCAGTAACTGCATAAATTTTGAAGACCATTTTCTTGCTATGGATATCTTTAACTCTGTGAAAGTTGTTTTTTTGAAATTACAGTACCGTGCAAAAAAAAGCTAAGTACAGCACAGTAGTACACAGGTAGTTATAGGTAGTTATTTTACTATGCCACTATTTGTTATTCTTCGCTGCGCTACGACTAGGAAGTACTGTGGCACCGCACAGTCACATATTCTGTAGCAGAAAACACTCACGCGCTCTAGAGGCTCTCAAAGGACTTAAGGATAGTTCATCTCTACTGCCTCTCTCCTTTTAAAAGCCCACTTAGGAGGTTCTTTGCTCGATTCTACCACAAGATACTGTCATGCTGCTGACCATGTGCACTACTACTACTGGTAACTTTGCACATGCACAACAAAGGAGCAGCGAACTACATACGCAGCAGTAGAGTACCTACTTAGCTTTTTTTGCACTGTACTGTAATTCTGTATAGTCAAAGAAAGTGTTACAATCATATGAGTGATATCAGTAGGTATTCTCACAAACTGATTCATGGACAAGTATTGTTCCTGCCGATTGCATAGGCAACAGTGCAAGGAAACAAAACGAAAAAACATATACAAAAGGCTCATTCGATTATCCATTGAAAAAAACACCATCTCTTGTTGATCTCCCACACTAACAACTGGTGCTGAAAAAACAGTTGCCCCTATACCTTCCAAATGTAGCTTCCTACAGAGGATATTGAGAGTCTTGTGAAGATAGCTAAAGCGACAATCCTTCTTATCTAAGAAATTGCATAACACACAGTTGTCTCGAGAGATTCTATAGAGGCCAGAAAGATTGCTCTTCCTGGGAGGATATGGGTCCCCAGACTCTCGGCAACCCTCCATTACGAACTTGCTCAATAATTCACTTAAGCACTTGTGGGTCGTTACATGACAGGAGAGCACAAAGAACAGCCTCAGATGGATCCTCCATCATGGCTCAAAACTGAACCCAAGGGTACATGCTCTTTTTGGCCCATTCATTGACACTAAGGGTGTTTCTTGAAACAACTTCATGAAAAGCGAAATCTAGAGCATCTACAGAATAGTACAGAAAGCACTTGCCCCCACCTGTTGCTAGCACAACAGAATTTTTCTTTCTTTCTCAATCGAGCTGCTGCTGTCCGCCATTAGCCACATGATAATCTTTGCTACAAGTCTTCATTAAAACAGTTACAACATGGGGCAGCATGTATTATCGGATTTATAAGCACTTCCTTCTGGCCTCATTGACAAAAATAGCGCACTCAGGCCCTGTACTAATTTTGACAACCTAACCAGAAGCTCAATCTGGGAATAAACACCATCCTAAGTGTTAACTACCATATAGCGCTTTAAATAGGCAGAGTTTTATTTTGGCAATTGGTGGTTTGCAAGCAGAATTGCCAATATTAAAACCACCAATTATTAATGAGCATGCTCAGTAATGCACGTATACACAAAAAATCGCCAAAATAAAAAACCGCCAATAACAATTTTATAGTAAAATTGCCAAAATAAAGCGCTACATGGTATTACTTATCATACTGGTTCCATAATGCCACACACAATATATTATACATATTGTGCTACACGCACTATTTCAAGTATTGAGTAATTAAGCCACTGCTTCATCTGAAAAATGCAATACCACCCAGGGCTAAAATAATAATCATGCATGATAAATGAAAAGGTAATTATGTATCTCTATTGATGTTAATTAACACATACTTACTGAGCATTTCCCATGAACTGTGCCATATTGGCATATATTCTTAAGTCCACAATTGACACTGCAAAAACAATTTCAGCTGTAACTGTATCACTTGTATTATATAATAAATCAAGATCTACAACAAAAAAAGAACATTAACAATTATACAAATACATAAATAAATACAAATATTACACTCTACCCTGCACAATTTCAAACTACAAGTCAGACTGCTCCACTTAAGGTGAAAAAAAGACTGATACCACCACAGAAATAATTTTTATTTACACATACATTAACCTCTTTGTAAGTATCATTGTAAATTGGTCTACATTGTAACTAGTATATACACATTATTATTCATTAGGAGATTTATATGTATGTACATGTGTATTCTGTGACTTAATTCATGAATTGCCTACCCATATAAAAAAACAAGACACCAAAGGTGCGTGGCCTCGCCTCTAAAGCTGCTTGGGAGGTGTTATGCTTAGATAGCCTAAGCCAGTATATATAAATGATATAGATCAAAAGTGCTGACAGACTAAGCACTAAGCATATATCACTTATTTATACACTATATTTATACTTACTGCACTGACTTTCATTTTAAAAACAACATCATAGATTTCAAAACCACAGCTTTTGTTGTGGCCACAATCTATCAAAAACATGCTATGCAAAAAAATTAGAAAGTGTGCTTTTGAGGTTGTGCTTTCGTGCTTTTATCATAACAGCTAGCTTCCTAGCTGCAGTTACACTTGCTCTTGCATGCTTGCAGAAGTGGCAAGCTCCAGGGCCAACTCCCAGCTTGGTCCTGCTTGGAGGCATGGCATTAATCATCAATAATGCAGCAAGACCATGTGAGAGGGAAGCTTCAGCTTTTTTCTCTTCTTCTAAGCGCTATATGATGTTAAAATGGCACAAATACTGTTGCTTAGATAGACTGAGTGACTTAAGAGAGTTTAGAATCCTTAGACTAGCCATGGACTAGCGAACTGCTGCTACAGCACTTCACTCGGGATGAAATTCGAGTAGCTATAACTCACCAAAAAGAAAGATTTAAAGAGTTCCACACATATTAAATGAATAAATAGTCTAAATCTACTGGGAAAGAGTCTCATTTACCTTCAGAGTACTACCGCTATTGCTGGGTATTTTCTCGAGAGTTAAAAAGCTTGTACTACCTAAAGCTGCTATCAAAACATCTCGAAGCAGTAAAGCAAGACTTTTCCTAACAGAAGAGAAGCTCTCACAGGTTTAGAGTACACAATTGTAAAGATATACATTCTCAAAGATAAAATATAGCACACAGAATGAATGAACGAGAGCACTAAAGTGCATACCCTCGCCACAGTCTGTGTGTAACAATTTTAATAAATTAAGAGAAAAATAATTAGTGAAAGTTTTGACACAGAAAAGAAGCTTCAGCATGTAAAAACTTAGTGAATGTTTTGAGACAGTGAATTTTTTGTTTTTTAGACAGAGAAGAAGCTCCAGCATGCTTCCTGCACTGCTGCAGCAATGTAAAGGTGTGGCTCCAATGAAGGTGTGGCTCAATCAAGCCATGCTCCACCCGCACACACAGTAATGGTGGCACATGGCTCCAAGTGGTGAAGAAAGCTTTAGTTTTTCTCGACTTTTAAACAGTTTAGCATACATTTGTTAGGCTCTATTTGTTGCATACAAACGTCTATTGAGCCCCTGATGTTTAAAGACTCTGGCCGCTACTTCGGGAGAAGAGAGCCTCGTGTAAACTCACAAAAGTATGACTTTTTGGGCTACCATATCTTTAAAACAAAGATGATTAGAGCAATTTCTCTCATATTAATGAAAGATGAGACTTTGCTTTATTATTTTATCTGCCCAGTTGCTCTTTTGCTCACACTATGAAAAAGTTGTCGGGGAACCGACCTACGTTTGGCGACTTTGCCAGCTTCTTTTTCCACGGAAAAGAAAAATATAGCATTCCCAAGACGGAGAATAACTTTTTCTAGAGCCAGTGTTGATTATAAGACTCTCCAGGACTAGACAAGAAAGCAGTGTCAGCTCAAAAGTGGAGGCCAAGCGAACACACACACACAGACAGGACGACTGCTTTACCCTCCCTTCCACGCCTACGCATGGGCTCGGGTAATGACAGACAGACAAACCAAGTACCTAGTCCTCGCCTACACAAAGCTGTGCGAGGCCAACAAGGTTGCAGCATAGTTGTGGCAACCTTGTACCAAGGTTGTTATTACTAGGTGGCCACAAGGCCCACCACCTTGTAAAAACCATGGAATTGACAAGTTTTCCACTTTGTGTCAACCTTGTAACAACCTTGTGACAACCTTGTCAAAATTTACAATAAATTCAATAAAATAACTATAATCTGAAGGACTATCAACACAAAATTAATATTCTCATCCTAATCCCATATAGTTTGAATTGATTTCTAGATACTTTCTGTATCTATAATAATTTTATATGTAGCTAATGTATAAAGATGTGGATGTGCATTAATGTTATCTTTATTGATTTATCAAAGGGCTGGCCAATGGTCTCCTTATATATGGTAGCAATAGCTTCATATCATCGTGGGGCGCACTTAATGAAACCTCACTTTCCTGTCAACCTTCGGACAACCTTGTCACAAGGTTGCTATGTTTGTAACACGTTAGTCACAAATTCAGCACTTTTATACAAGGATGTCACCAGGTTGCTGACAACTTTATCACATTTGTACAAGGTTGTTACCAGGTTGCTACAACCTTGCAAGGTTGTGAACTGGTTGTAACAAGCTTGTAGTAAGATTGAAATTTCTATATATAACTAAGCATTACTTAGCAATGCAATACAAAACAAAACTTTAAGAAAGTGAGAGTCACCAGATAAAACTAAAAATGGTAATCAACACATGAAAAGAAGTCAAAGTATTCTAAAAGATAACATTTTTGTCAAATAATGGCAGTCAGTAATCACAGGATGACAGGACTACTGGACTGCACTTTCAATTTTTATGACTATTATGATAAATAATAATCATTTTAAAAGCTAATCCCAAATTAATTATAATGAAATAATTACAGTGAAACTTGTTTTAATGACCACTTGTATATAAAGACCACTCTTCTATTGCGACCAGATCATTTGGTCCCACCCATTTACTCATTAGACTGCATAGTAACTTGTCCCTCTAATGCATCCACCTGTCTATTCCGTTATCCGACCGCTTCTTTAGGTCCCTTGTCCATAGGCTTCCATACAAATTCCCTTTTATAGTGACCAGTGGGTGCAACCAGTCAATCAATTGATTGGCCACACCTACTAGATAATTAAATGACCAACCACTTCTACTAGATTTACTATGTTATGCATGCTTTGATTATTCTTTCTCTTTTATGCATTCTAATCATTTTTGACATCAATATAACGTAGCATAATAGTATTTTCAGCTTCTCGATGTATAGAGTCTGTCCATACATAATATAAACACATAGGACTTCACTGCCAAGCTGAACACCACAGATAACAGGTCTTCCAGTATTTTTACAAACAGCACTGTGTCCAGGTTTAATTAGAAAATAATTAAAAACTTTGCTCAAAGATAAAGAACGTGACCAACAACATTATCGTCTTTCATGATAGCAACCGCATATATCTGTCTTGTTCATTGTTGATTTCACGACTCAAACCTAGTTCAACTTCCAACACAGGAGTCCAAATGTGACGGTATACATGATAACCACAAAAGTGAGACTGTAACTCAAAAGAAGAGAGCGCTAATACAGCTATAGCCAGCCAAAGACAAGCAGCAGTCGATATGAGGTGGTTACGTGGTGTCAACTTACTGTTCCAGCTACAAATAGCAAATATGGCCACCGCATCTGTCAAGAGAAACAAGTTGTTTTTGAAGAGAAGGATCAAGGTCCTTCATTACATCAATAGAAACCCTGGTTGTGGAGCAAACAAAGTAGCAACGGTTCTTGATTGTGGAAAGACTCAGATTCAATCAATCATTAAAAGTAAAATCTCAATAAGGAGCCAGTTTAAACTTATGAACTGTTCTCAAGACACTAAAAGAGTTCATAAAGCCACTTTCCCAAATATAAATTAAGCCGTTTACAAATGGTACAGTTTAGTTAGACAAAGAAACATAACAGTTTCTGGGCCATTGTGGAAAGAAGCTACGAAGCTTAAAGATTGCCCAATTTCTCGATGAGGATATGACATTCAAGGCATTGCACGGCTGGTTGAACTGCTTCAAAAGCGACATGATATGAAACAGATGACTATGAGTGGAGAATGTGGAGATGTCAGTGAAGCTACAGTGACTGGGTGGCACAATAGGGTGAAGTCTCTGATTGCTGGTTATTCACCCGAAGATATATGGAACACAGATGAAACTGGTTGTTTCTACCATGCACTTCCTGATAAATCTCTCTCTGATAAAGCTACACAATGTAAAGGAGGAAAGAAGGCCAAGGAGAAGCTAACCATCTCTTCTTTGCCAACGTAGCAGGTGGGACAGAAGCACCAATAGTAATTGGTAAATCTGCTAGTCCCAGGTGTTTTAAAGGCCTAAGAAATGAAGCACTATGGTGCAATGGAGTTGCCCGCTGGAATTCCCCTGAGTGATATGTTTTACTTGTTCTGTGATATTTTAAGCAATTTGAAAAAAATTATTATTATTGACTGCATAGTTATAATGATAATTAAAATAAGCTATTGGTGTGGTCAACAACTAGCTAGCTAGCTGGCTAAATGGCACATGGGTAGGAAAAAAAGAAAAGCTGAAAATTTATTTTAGCATCTGAAGCTCTATTCCAATAAAAACTTGGCACAGAAAACTTTTCTAGATATTTAAAAGAGACTTAGAGAGTTTGGCTGCTCCTGCTTTCCCTAGTGCCGCCTGAAAAATTTTCAAAGAGGCTAAATCACAAACTTTGAGCAACTGTAGCTCACAAACAACGAAGTTAGGACAAAATCGTTCTTTTTTGTCAGATAGGATTTTCTACTTCTAAAGCAAATCTCGGCCCTGTAAAGTCAAACACGAGCTCTCACTTGGAGAGAGGTCCCCTGGTTTAGCAGTTCCCAGCTTTTGGTGCCATGGGATGCTACAAAAGCATAACTAGATAAAAGAAAGCAACTTTATCTGTTGTTAGAAGAAGAAATATGGCTCTAAACTGCTCAGACAAAAAGATATATTTTTTTTACAAATCAATGAAACTATGTGGACAGAATGACAGAATGAAAACCAAACTGCTCTATACCCGCCTACGCAAGCATGGCACTTTCAATAAGAAATGTCTAAGATTACAATACTACACCAATAAAAAAGCGGGGATCAATATGGATGTCAGGGACAAAGTCATTTTACAGCTAAATAGAAAAATGGTTAGAGAGAAACAAAAAATACTTCTATTTGTGGATAATGTGTCCTCCCACTCTTCTGATTTAAAGGATAAGTTTTTTAACGTCAAAGTCATCTTTCTTCCTGCTAATACCACTTTACAACCTCTGGAAGCAGGTATTATAAAAAAATTTTTAATTTAAGTATAGAAGGAAACTACTTAAATATACACTAGCCAGAGTTCATGACAAGAATGACATTACCACTTCTACTATTTGTGTAAATTGGTTGATAATTTAATGGCTATACGATGGATAAAAGAAGCATGGGAAGAAGTATCCCAGCAGACTATTACCAAATGTTTTCAACACTGTAGTATTCCTATGGCAACTGCTTGTGAGACTGAGAATGATACTAATGATGACGACACATTTGCTGAGTTGGATGAATTGGTTACACAAGTGGGTACTACTGACGGTATCTCAGTTGAGCAATTATGTAGATGATAAATCAAATCTTTCAACCAGCCTTGGTATAGATATTGATGACATCTGCTGATTCAAGATGCAATTTGAGATCTGCTATTGTTAGTGAGATGTCGTCATCACAAAGCAATAAAATAATGGATATTGGAACTTGTGTAGTCCTAGATGGAGATACATGTAGCAGCAATGAATCTCAAGATGAAGGTGTTTCATCTAGTATCACTTCATGCAATGAAGGTATGGCAATAGCAAATAACCCAATCCTTTTTTAGTCGAAAAAGGGCATGATAAAGCAGCTGAGTTACAATCACAAGTTCTCTCAATATTACAAGACAAAAAAATAAAGATAACACTCACATCTCAATTACACAACTCTACTCTTAGAGACTTTTATTGATAACTCAATTTATATATATATGTGTGTGTGTGTATTATGTATCATACTAAACATGTCTATATACAAAAATATAGACCTGAGGTGGGTGTCCAAGGATGTGATATAGCCCAAGGGCTATATCACATCCAAAGACACTCACCAAAGGACTATATCTTTTGTATATAGACCAGTTATAGTATGTTATATAGGATAAATTTCATAATGATGACAGCATTTCTGAATGGCAGGTATATATACAAAAATATAAACCCGACCACATCACTAAGGATGATGTCATAATTATGAGATGTATATATATATATATATATGTAATATTTATAACACACCAGCGAGTGCCATATGGCTTTTATAAGGACCAAGCCCGAGGGCGAGGTCCTTATAAAAGCCATAGGGCATGAGACTGTGTGTTATAAATGATATATCTTAAGGCCTCCATACACTAGGCAACATGTTGCTGGCAACTTTGTGGTTACTTTGATGGACATGACTAAAAGACGGAACGGAACCAGAAACGGACTGGAATACGGACCAGAAAACGGACTGAAAATACTGAAATAAGTGTGACACGACAGTGAGTGTGAGACAGCGTGTCTGTGTGTGACAATATCCTCGGATCTTTCCAGGCAAGCCTAGGTTTATCTATAGTCACCTTGTATCAAGTTAAGATACACTGTAGCATGACTGAGTAAGTGCCAGCTACTGCGCCCGAACGAGTATGATCACTTCTTTTTACTGTAGTGCGCGGGATTCTCCTAGTATTACCTGTGAGACAGAGCACTGGAGTGATGATGCATGGTCACCACCACTACTTCCAAGTCCTCTGGCGCCCCTGAAAGACACAATGGATGACTCTTCAGGGACTTTAGATGATGCCATTACTGAAGTCACACCCACACAGGAAGTTATTGATCTTACTGTTAGTAGTCAGGATAGCAGTCAGGACTCCAGCTGTGCCACTACAGATGAGAAAGACTTAATCATACAGTAAGAAAGTATTCAAGTTACATCTTTGTAGTAGTACACGTTTCTTCATAACTTAGATACTTTGATGGTGATAAGAATATACCTTTTATTGCTGAGTGTCCTAGTTACTCTGCTGAGACAGTTATGCATCTTTTTTTTGATCATGACAGAAAAATGGTGTGCTCTAAACAACCTATTGGTTGTAGAACCAGTGCTTCTTTTATAATAAATTCTTCAATGCTTTCTCATCACAGTGACGTTCGTGCTGATGACCTTGGGTCCTGGAACAACAGAGGTGTGAAGACAAGTTACTTTAGTGTTTCTTTTTCATCAAATGGAAAAATCAATCGTCTCACAAGTCTTGGATCAAGAAAGCCTTCTGTGTTACGAAGCTCTATATACATGTTGAAGCGTACATATTGGAAGCATAGTGAAGATCCAAAGTTTTCTCGCCGACTGTTTGAATTACAAGGTATAATGAACTTATTGTTTTCCTACTAAATTTGTGTGTCTTTTTGCCTGCATATAATAGATCATGAGCAAAATCACTATCATATTATATTGCTGCAGTACTTTCACCCAACTACTGCTGTTGAGGATATTGGTCAGAAACCTCATAGGAATAGTAAGTGTGGTGCCACTTACATTCGAACAAAACAAAGTGTTCGCAATATAATCATAGACACTTGTAAAGGTTGGTAATGAATATTACTGTTCCATCATTATTTTTGTTGCTTCTTTAGAAAGTCAACCGCCCACTCAGTTGTTTGATGAAGTATTTG